GATTTTTTTTTTTTTTTTTTTTTTTTTTTTTTTTTGTCTTTTTCCGTGTCCGGCAACGGATCGCAACCCTCAGTGTTGCCCCCGTACCGGACCAGGGACCGGCAACGGGATTGCAAACCTCGGCGTTGCTCCCGCGCCTCGCTCAGCCAGTGAGCGGGAGCCGGTCCGTATGTGGGATCCGAACCCTCGGGCGGGAGCGCCACCGCGCTTCCCAAGCGGCGCACTACCCAGTGCGCCACCGGGCCGGCCCTGAATTGTCTTTTTAAAAAGATTTTTCACACTTTGTTCTTCCCATTGCTACTGCCTTAGTTTAGGTTCTAGTTATCTAGTGTCCACACTTTTTCTGGTGGTCTCTGGTCTGTTGAGTCTCCTGTTTCCTCTTAATGTGTTATTTAGAGGTCAAGGATGTTTATACTGTATTTCTAAGATACAAAACTCAGTTCCCCAGTTCAAATGATACTCCTTATTGCCAACAGGATAATGGCTAAGCTCTTAACATGCCATGCATTCTCTTTCAGGTCTGGCTTCTGCCTAACTTTGCTTAGTTTCCCTTTCCTTCCACTTTATGGTTTAGTGTCCTAAGCTACTGGTACAGTCATGTGCTGTGTAGTGATGTTTCAGTCAATGATGGACCGTATATATGATGGTGGTCCCATAAGATTATAATGGCTATCCCATATAGCCTAGGTGTGTAGTAGGCTATGCTATCTAGGTTTGTGTTCGTAGACTTTATGATGTTCACACAACAATGAAATTGCCTGAAGATGAACTTCTCAGAACATATCCCCATTGTAAGTAACGCATGACTGTGGTTTGTTTTGATTGTTTTATTTGTTCATGCCTTTGAGGGTTCTAAGCCCTCAATTCTTTCCCTAACTGCTTACTTTTAAAAGTTAATGATTTTTACTTTTTAGTGTTATTTTTAAAGAAGTGAGTGTTCATGTTATTGCAATTGTCATACTTTTGTACTATATTCTATCTATATATGTCTTATTCACCAGGCAGTGAGTTCTCTTTTCTCTTCTTTACAGTGCTGGCACGTAAGTTCTTGATCTGTTAGTCCAATGTATTTATTTACGGGAGAATGATTTGTGTCTCAAGTTGACTTTGAGAACCTCTATATGTGTACACATACATGTTTTACCAATTTTAATCCTCCTTTATAGGTGATTTTTACTGAAGGATTTAATTCAGTTGGTGGAACTAAAGAGTTCAGTTTTCTACAGGACTTGTTTTTAAAATGGACTAAAACCCAGAAAATCTAATCACATTTAAATTTCATTATTAACTGATATTTTTATAGAAAAACATCCATTTGTACACTTTTGAAATTAGCATTTATAAGAGATACTGCTGTTGAAATTCACTTGATATTTTGGCTATTCTAATTACCACACAGGTAGGAGTTTTGAAAATAGTCATAGCTCTTTATATACTTCTTCCACAGTATACTTTATATACTTCTTCCACTTCTTCACTTTATAAATCTCTCCTCCCTCCTTTTTTTGATTTCTTGTTCTTTTTGCATTCTGAAGGAAGTAGGCTTTTCCTTTTTTTTCTCCAATGAGATGTTTGGATTCTTTTTTTTGTTTGTTTTTAAACAGGATGTGGTTGTTGTAAGGGAATTAGATGTGAGTTAAAGTGTATTTTTAAGGGGCTGGCCCGTGGCTCACTTGGGAGAGTGTGGTGCTGATAACACCAAGGTGACGGGTTTGGATCCCTATATAGGGATGACTGGTTAGCTCACTTGGGAGAGCGTGGTACTGACAACACCAAGTCAAAGGGTTAAGATCCCCTTACCGGTCATGTATAAGAAAAAAAAAAAAGTGAATTTTTATATAAAATGATTTTCATTTCCTTTTTAGAAAAGCCACAGATTGTTAAACTCTGACTCTGTATCTTTTGTAGCCTTTTTACTGCTGTGAAAAAGACTAAAATGCTGAGTGTATGGAAGATAACATATGCCAGTCAATCTTTTCTAGACGGGATTTGTATTGTCTGTATTTTTGGTAATTGTGTCCATAGAGCTTTACACAACCATGAAACTAGAATTTGTTTGTTTGTTTTTTTTTTTTTTTTTTTTTTTTTTTTTGTTTTTTTCCATGTCCGGCAACGGAACGCAACCCTCAGTGTTGCCCCCGTACCGGACCGGGGACCGGCTACGGGATCGCAACCCTCGGTGTTGCTCCTGCGCCTCGCTCAGCCAGTGAGCGGGAACCGGTCTGTATGTGGGATCCGAACCCTCGGGCGGGAGCACCGCCGCGCTTCCCAAGCGGCGCACTATCCAGTGCGCCACCGGGCCGGCCCCATGTTTTTTGTTTTTTATTGCTGTTTGGATTTCCTGTTTTTAATTTCCTATTTTGAAATATCAAATTCTTTCTCTGCAAAGGCAATATTTGATCCTAAATCTACCCTCTCTGAAGTCATTGGACTTAATATGTCTATAAATCAGGATTATACTACAGGTTGAGTATTGCTTATCTGAAATGCTTGGACCAGAAGTATTTCTGATTTCAGATTTTGGGATATTTGTATTATTATTACTGGTTCAGCCTCCCTAACCTGAAAAATCTGAAATTTGAAATGCTTCAATGAGCATTTCCTTTGAGCATCATGATGATGCTCAGAAAGTTTTGGATTTTGGAGCATTTCAGATTTCAGATTAGGAATGTTCAACTTGTATTTATTTCTCAGGGTTGGTGGTTGTGAGGAATCCATGCAAAGCACCTAGCATATTGCCTGGCCCAGTGTAGCTACTCCATAAATGTTAGTGTATCGTACATATTGCTGTGTTTAAAGCATTTCTTCCTCCCTATATTTTAGCATAGTGTTTTTAGAATTTTCTTGGTATTTTTGTTTGTTTGTTTTGTTTGTGTTTTTGGATTATTTATGTTGCTGCAGCTTATTGTATGTCCTCTGTGTTTTCTGACAATGAGGCTTTAGCACATTATAGGCTGATGGTAATAGGCACTAAGTTGGTTGCTATCTTTTTTTTTTTTTTTGTCTTTTATCTTTTTCCGTGTCCAGCAACGGATCGCAACCCTCAGTGTTGCCCCCGTACCGGACCGGGGACCGGCAACGGGACTGCAACCCTCGGTGTTGCTCCCGCGCCTCGCTCAGCCAGTGAGCGGGAACCGGTCTGTATGTGGGATCCGAACCCTTGGGCGGGAGTGCCGCCGCGTTTCCCAAGCGGCGCACTATCCAGTGCGCCACCGGGCCGGCCCGGTTGGTTGCTATCTTAATTTGCTCTGTGATTAGCTAATCAGCCTCTAACTGGTTTTGAATATATATCATGTCATCAGACTAAATCATTTATTCTTTCATAAACTCTTAGAGTTCTCTTACCACATAAATTGTATATTTAAAATTATCCTCATATGTGACTCCTTCAGATTGTCTAGTTCTGTGGGTATTTTAGCATGTTAATTGCTTGTAAACAGCCTTCTTTGGCAACAGTGGTGCGGCCGTTCTCTTGATGATGAGCAGTCATCTTTTTGAGGTAATGACATTGGTTCTTATCGTTATCTAGTTTCCAACCGGAGGCCTTATCGGCAGTACTATGTGGAGGCTTTTGGAGACCCTTCTGAGAGAGCCTGGGTGGCTGGAAAAGCAATCGTCATGTTTGAAGGCAGACATCAATTTGAAGAGCTACCTGTCCTTAGGAGAAGAGGGAAGCAGAAAGAAAAAGGATATAGGCATAAGGTAAAAAAAGAAAGAAAAAAGGGGGGGTGGGTTCTTTAAAATTACCTGCTTGGGAGATTGGTAGGGAAGAAATATTTTATTTTTGAAATGTAAGTTATTTCCTTTGATGGTAGGGTATCTGTGAGAAAATATCTAGGAAACATTTTTTTTGCAGGGGTGAGGTGGGGCTAGCTTTTGAAATATTTATACTCAATTTTTTGAAAAGTGATTTTAGCTACTTCTGCTGTGTCACTCAGAGAAGTGACAATATGACAAGGCACGACCAATCTCCTTTGGTTATCTCTTATGCAAGAACAAAGGGATCATTAAAATGAAGTAATCTACTTCTCACCCTCTGAACTAATTATTTCTCTTAAAAATGAGAAAAATAAGGCTTTTAATAATTTTATTTTCTATTTTATGTTGTCAATGCCTAAGTTTGTAGTTTCAAACTTGTTATATTTTAATCATGAACATTGTGGTTTTGTTTCTTTAGCTTGATGTTTTGTGTTAAAGTCGGCCAAGGAAATTTTTGGCTTATTTTCTTTTTTTTTTTTTGTCTTTTTTCCGTGTCCGGCAACGGATCGCAACCCTCAGTGTTGCCCCCGTACCGGACCAGGGACCGGCAACGGGATTGCAAACCTCGGTGTTGCTCCCGCGCCTCGCTCAGCCAGTGAGCGGGAGCCGGTCTGTATGTGGGATCCGAACCCTCGGGCGGCGCGCACCGCCGCGCTTCCCAAGCGGCGCACTATCCAGTGCGCCACCGGGCCGGCCCCTTATTTTCTTTTAATACTCTTTTTTCCCCAGTTTTTTTATTATGTTAAAATACACATAACATAGGGGCCGGCTGAGCGAGGTGCGGGAGCAACACCGAGGGTTGCGATCCCGTTGCCGATCCCGGTCCGGTACGGGTGCGACACTGAGGGTTGCGATCCGTTGCCGGTCACGAAAAAAGACAAAAAGGAAAAAAAAATACACATAACATAAAATTTAACATCTTAGCCATTTTTAAGTGTACAGTTAAATTTTATTAAGTACATTCATAATGTGCAACTATCCATCCCCCTAGTTCTTTTCATTTTATAGTGTATTTCATTACAGTAAAACAAACTCTGCAACAATTAAGCAATAACTCCCCACTTTCTCCTCCCCTCAGCCCCTGGTAACAACCATTCTACTGTCTGTTTCTATGATTTAATATTCTTTTATAGTCAATTCTAAAAGGGGAAATACTTTTCTTAAGATAGGTGTTTCATACTCCCCTGTGTTTAAGTACCTATAGAATATTTTTTAAAAGTCATAATTAGGATAATTCAGTGTCAGTATGCAGAGTCTGGAGTTTCTCTGAGACTTGGCGTCTTCATCTCTAAAACCAGTAGAATAACATGTACTTTGTAGAACTGTTGTTAAGGATTAGAAATAAGTATAAATTACTTAATATTTCATAAGGTTGAAGCTCTGATATAAGTAGTATGTGCTGTTTTTAGGATGAAGGAGATTAACTGCATCCCTTCTAATATTTTGGGTGGTTGGTGATAGGGAGTTGTCAGAGTTTTTGTGTTAAGCCCCTAGCTATGTAGATTTACCAACTCTCATTTCAGAGGACTTCACTAGGACTTTAAGGTTCTGGAAAATTGATTTACTCTGGTCGCAGTCATGAGCATTAGTGGATTTGTGTTTGTGTGTAACAGAAACCAGATGGTCATCTTATTGACTTATAAGGGGACACTACCTGTTTAGTGACCTTAATTTTTACATGCTCTGCAGAGTGTCCCCTTTACAAATATAAAAGTATTTGTGAACACTAACTGGTAGTTAGAACTCTGACTAATACCTATTTTATGGATTCGAGGAATGAAATAAGTGTCTGGAAAATTAGGTGTATTTCACAAAGCTTTAATATGCTCTTGCAATGAGACATCAAAAAAAGAATATATATGTATTTTGTTATACCAAGGATGTCTTTGTATCTCTGGACTACCTGATTAAGCCCAGGAGACAGCTTTGTTGTAATCCAGGTTGTATGTAATGTGTATAGAAGGTGCCTAGTGACAACTAGAATTTCAAATTATCAGGTCCCCTAGGGGGCAGATCTGACCTGCACATTTTTCCTGTCCTATATTTTCCATATTCGTCATCTTTAACATTTTGCTTTCTCTTTTATATGCAACTGAGCAAGTGCTTGTCCTTCATAAATCAGGAAGAAAATAAATCCTTATTCTAAAGTACAGAGCAGTAAGTAGGGAGGGTCTGGGTATTCTTTGATTTAGAAAGGTAATGTTAACAGTCTTAGTCAAAGTTATGGGGCCGGCCCGGTGGCGCACTGGAGAGTGCGCCGCTTGGGAGCGCGGTGGCGCTCCCGCCGAGGGTTCGGATCCCATGTGGAGACCGGTTCCCGCT